GTTGGGCGTCCTCGGGCGGGGCAGAGGAGCTGAGGCGGGCTGCTCCGGGGCGGGGAGGAGTGACGCCAGCTCGGGTGTCACGGAAAGCCGACGGCCCCCGCAGCAAGGGCGGGAGCGGGAACCCCTCGCCTCATAGCTCTGCCATCCCGGGGCTGGGGACGTGGCTGACGGGGCGGACACCCCGGGCTCTCAGCTGCCTGCCCGGGACGGGAGCTGGAGGTTCGGAGGGACTTCAGCGGGCGGCCGTCCACGGGCAGGGGAGGGCGGGGGACGGCGACCGGGGCCAGGGACGGCGGAGCAACGGCAGGGCTAACACCACAACGGATTTGTCTATTGCTTTTTTAATCAACAAGGTTTTAGAAAACTGAGAAGGTCCTGACAGCTCATGAGAGAGACAGCCACTGTGCAGAACCTGCTGCCACCCTGACGACTCAGAGGGGGAGTGGCTGCTCGTTCACCCTGCCCTTGGAAGAATCGACCTTCATTGCCTCAAACAGCAGCTTCACCAGCGCCATCCTCCCCCGGGCGATCACGGCTTTGGAGAGCTGGGTCACCTCCAGCGTGCGGTTGCAGCAGACTGCCCTCAGCTCCTGCTGCAGGTGCTGCCGTGCGAATTTCTCCTCGGCTTTCTTAACCTACCGCTCCATCTCCTGCACCAGCATTTCCGTCTTCAGCTTCTTCTGGCCAAAGAGCAGAAGCAGTGGCTCCGGGAGGCACCGCAAGCTCTCAGTGGAACCCACGTCGTCCAGTTCGACGGCCTGCTTGAAGCACTTGATGGCGAGTGTTTCCTGGCTTTTAAGCCACAGGCGTTTGCCCCTGAAGAGCTGCAGTTCGGGTATGGTATCGCCCAGGTCAAACTCCATGGCTTTGTCCGGGAGCTTCATCCACCAGGAACAGTTCTCGCACGGCGTCCATGCTCATATGGTAGTCAAAAATAGTAGAGGGGTGGCAGGACAAAATGGGTCTGTCAGGAGAAAAGAGAGACCAATGGCTGCCTCCGAGGATGACATTCCCCATCGGGCTCTGGGGAGAGGAGCAATAAGAGTGTGGCTGACCTGCTCGCAGCACCATGTCCATAGTGTACACACAGGACTGCAGTCCTGCTCCCATCCTTGTGTCTAATGTCTCCCACTGCTTGGCTCCAGGTGGCTCTTCACTCCCGTAAGCTCTCAGAATTCCCTCCCAGCTAAGGCTGACGTTAACCGTAGCAATCCCTCTGTTCCCTGTTTCTGCCTTCAGCCCTCCTGTACCTCACCATCTCCCTCGCACCTAACTGGAACCGAGCCCAACAGGATGGAAAGGCAGCCAAGGGCCAGGCCCCTCAGTCTTTGTGGTCTAACTTGAGGGCTGAGAGTTAATGAAAACCTGGGGACACTGCAAGGAGCTCCCCGGGATCTCAGGGGTATGATGTGCCCATGCTCACCTGGCCCCTGTCCGGGTTTGTCCTCAGGCACGGACAAACCTTGAGGACCCTTTTGAGGTCATTTTCAGCATGCGTGAGCTTCCTTCTGTCAGGCACTGGACCCTGTCCCATCTTTGCACGTTCCAGATCTTGCGGATACATCTTCATGTGGATTTGGAGACCAGAGGAAACTCATCAGCTTGGCTTGGTGCCCAGTTGCAAGATGGATGATGAAATGATGTGAGTACAAACCACTAGCATGCATCGGATCAGCTCCTCGGCCGTGCCAGGCTACACCAGAGAGCCAGGCCAGCTTGCCCAGCACCAGCACCTCAGTGTCCAAAGCGTGACCCCATGGTTAGCAGTACCAGGAAAGGTGGTGCAAGCCCCTGAGATGCTGCTCATCCTGTTGACCTGTTGACTGTAAATTTGGTTCTTGGTGATCCTGGGGTCCTTGAAAGCAGCTAGCCCATCCGTTCCCCGTTCCAGGCTCAGGTATGGGGGCAGCATGGCCTAGTGTGTTCAGAGGTTGAACCACTTGGCTGTAGGAGTGCGCCTGAAGAAGGGCTGAGAAATCAAAAGCATTTTTTCTTACATCATTTCAGCTTTCTCCAGTCAAACCTGGCAGACAGACACCACCCGGCACCCAGTGACCACCTCCACGCTGCACTTTTCAGCCTCCTGCCTCTAGCTCAAAGGGAGTTAAACATCTCTGAAGAGCAGTTGTAAGCACATATTAAAGTACTCCACTAGAGGAGGAGATTTCACTTCACTGAGCCTCATTTTATGAGGAGTTAAATAATCCTGTTTAAATATAAGGAAGTAAGAATGAGTCCTTATTTTATTTAAAAATGGGGTTTGAAGAAATCTTCATGATTCTTCTGTAATGGGAAATACTCACAAATGTGCACTCCTGTTTACAGGGGGCTACAAATGGGCAAAATCAAGGGATTAAGGAGCACATTTTTGATGCTCCTGAGTGATTTGGGAGCATTAAAGTCATTAAATAGTCAAGCCAGTTCTGCGAGGTGACTCTGCACCCTGTGAAACGTTGCCCAGAGGGACCTGGGGAAGTCCCTCAGCAGCTCAGTGCCAGAGCCAGGATCTGGCCCAGGTTTCCTGGCTGCCAGGTAGCAACTTCACTCCCAGACCAGCCTTCGCTGGTTTTGTCAGGCAATTACTTCTCCCTGCGTGTTTCTCACCACAATTAAAACAAGCAATGCAAATGCTGTCTGAGAGAAGCGCCGTGGTTGTCTTGGAGGCTGGAGGAGCAGGACGGGTCCCTGTGGTAAGGGGACCTGTCCACGCTTCGGACACCCAGCATACTGTGCTGGCCCCGATGAGGGCTTACCTGTGCCCAGGTGCAGTACGCCTGCCAGTGGAGCTGCGGGTCCCGCGGGACATCCAGTGCCATATTGCATATCCCTTTGGCCATCTCCTGCTTGCCCAGGAAGTGGAAGATATTCGCCAGGCGGTTCAGGATGGGAGGTTTGTCTTTCACCGTTTCTATCGCCTGTTTGAGCCACAGAAGTGAAACACGTTTCCATCGGTGACTTATTGCCTGCTGTGCTGATCAAAGGGACAAAACCATCTTGGATTGATTCGCCGGAGCAGTGTTTTAACTGGGAGGGTTTAAGGCTATACAAAAGACGCGGCCTGCAGGGAAAGCTGATAGCTGTTATTAAATCAGCAGACAGGACTGAATGCGGGGCTAAGCTCAGGGGTTATATGTCTGAAAGCCTGTCTGTCCTCCTTATTTTTTCCAGCTGTGCTGGGGGAAGCTAATAAAGGTACTGTTGTCCCTGCAGCCTTTCACCAAACCGCTCGCCTGCTGCTTTGCCGCGAGCTGATTTATGCCTTCGGGGCCAAACACGCGGCCTGAGAGGGGTGTGCCATGCACATGGCGGGACCGAGGGTCTCGGCTGCCGTCTGGGGCCTCCCCTCTTTGACCTGGGGGATTTCCAGGAGGAAAAATGCTGAGGAATGGGGTAAGATGAATGAAGGACCAAGCAGGCGATGGCAGCTGCCTCGAATCAGTCCCTGGTGCAGCAGTGCTGGCTATAGCACCTTGCCAAAGCAATCGAGGGGGTCAGTCTCGGAGAAGCCACAGTCTGGGATCCCCGTCGGGGTGGTGGAAAACCTTTCGTTCTTTTCCAGCAGCAGCCCCAGGTAGCACCAGGCCAGGGCTAGGGGAAGAGAAGTCAGGGCAGGTGAGAGGCCAAGTCATTCAGCGGCCAAACCTCTCTCCATCCTGCAGAGGATTTGCAGTTTGGGCTTGGGGTCTCAGCACAGAGACGTGGCACATCCCGGCTGACCCTGGACATGCTCTTACACAGCTTGTAGGGTCCGTGAGCCCACAGCGCTGGCTCACGCACCTGGCTGACTAATTTTCCCGAGTACTTTCATCCCTCCAGTGATGTTGCTGTAACTGCATGACCGCAGGACAACGTTTTTATGCCTAGTGAAGCAGTAGTTGCAGGGCTTGTCTTAGATTTGCCCCTCGGGAAGTTACTGGGGGATGTAAAATTACCACACATCCCCTCCACCCTGGCAGCTACCCAAGGTGCAGGTGCTCCCGGGCAACCCTCGGGTGCTTTCAGACAGCTCCTCCCAAGCAGACAACACTTTTGAAAATAAACAACACTGATAAAAATACAGTAATTAAATCAATCAGAAGAATGCATATCATCATCTGAGGTTCAGGGCTACCTTGGATGTATGTACATACAACATCCATCAGTGCTGGATGCATTACACCATGAGTTACGCGTGCGTAAGGACCAGAGGTGGGTTTTACACAGATGGGCTTGGAGTCCCCCTCCTGGTGAAATAATCTGTTTCTCCTGCCTCTGTAGCGTTGGAGGACTTGATGGCTTGTCGGAGCAGTGCCAGGGTCCTGTTGGAGGCGGGCAGCCTCTTCAGCTCCTCGCTGCCCTGGCTTAGCAGGATCCCATCCAGCCTGCAATGGGAGCGGGCGGCATGGCTGGGACCGGGCAGCCAACCCCGCTTTCTGCACCAAACAGCAGCCCAGCGCCAGGGAACCGACTTCCTCAGGCCTGGCTTGCTCTTGTCCAAAATGCAACGGGCATTAAGGGGGCTGGTGAGCCTCCCCTGCGAAGATCATGGATGCGGATCGCCTTGCCCAGACCCACCCATGCTCACATGCAGCAAATACAGCACCACAGAGGACACAAGCACCAAGAGCATCATTTTGTTGCCCAAAGTGGGATTGGCAGGTTGGGTTTTTGCTTTAAGAATGTATTTTCTTAGCAGCTTAGAGATAATTTGTCCCTATGAAGGCCTGGTAAACAGTTGGATCAAGCCCTGAATACGTTGCTTTAGCCAGGCTGGGAGCCTCCATTACGAGGATCCCTGCCTCCACCCTGCTGTCTGCCAGCCCTGTCTGCTCCCGGGAGGGGACATTCCCTGGGGAACTGGGATGCTGGGTGCCATGGTGACGGCTGCCATGGCAAGGGCTGCCACCATCCCTGCAGACCTTGGGGACTAGACCTGCCAGCATGGGGCTGCAAGCACTCCCCAGGGACATGCGCAGCCAGGTGAGGCCACCGGCCAGGCTTGCCTGGATGCGTGGGGAGAGCTGGACTTACTGGTGTAGCTCTCCTCATCTCCCAGATTGTCTGTGCCCGCTGGGAAGCAGCTTCTTGCATGGGGACTTCTTTCACATGACGGTCCGGGACCGAGCACCCCAGGGTGGAAGTGTGGGATGTGGGCTGCTCATGCCAGCGCTTGCAGGCACCTTCCTGGTGCTCAGCAAACACAGAGGACGGAGGATTGGGACATGGAGCAGCAGATCCCCATGTCCATCTCCCCTAATCGCCCCTCTTCACCTGGCTGCGGAGCCACGGCCAGCTGAGCATGAGCTCAGCCTTGTGCTCCAGTCCTGGCACTGCTGACGGCAGTGCTCTGGCTCTGTGTTGCAGGGGAAAGCATCAGCCTCTGGCTGGGCCAGAGCAGAGAAGGGCTCCCAGCTTAGTCAGCTGCCCCATTTCCAGTTCAAGGAGATAACGAAGAGGTGCAAACGCCAGGTAAAAGCTGGGTTTCATCCGCCTTCCGAGCACATTTGCTAGGGGCGAGCAGTTCAGGCAGCGCAGGCAGTGCTGCCCAGGCCCATCCTCGCCTTCCCCACTCTCCTCCCGCAGCAGGAAAGGCTGGGCCCAGGAATGTACAACGTCAGGGACTTTCTGCAGGAGACACGGTCCTCCAGCCTCTGGGGGGTTCTGTGACACGAGGGAGCAGTGGTTCAGAAACGCCCACAGGGTAGGTCACACCCCGACATGGGAGATGCTGGGGAATGGTGCCTGCCGGCTGCGGGACTTGGGTCCGGGCTGATGCCTCCAGAGAACAAGCCCTTTGCAAGGGTTAGGAGCTACCGTGGGCACCATCTCCTCCTGCTGGGCTGGGGACTGTCCCCCTTGCTGAGGCTGCCCACGGCCACCCCACCTCTCCCGCAGTACTGCTTCCCTGGCCCTGGCATGTACGGCCCCCGGGGGAACCCCTACGCCCGCCTGGAGGAGAGGGACAAGCGCTCTGCCAGCACGCGAGGGCTGATGGACAGCAGGACGGCAAAGTGTGCCCTGCTGGCAGCCGTGGCGAGTCCTGCCCCTTCCCCTGAGGACATGCTGGTGGGGTGGCCCCATCCCCCCGCTGAGCGCAGCCCCTGCTGCCTTTCCCCCCGTGCCTGCAGGGCAGCGGCCTGGGACCTGGCACCTACCACCTGCAGAGCAGCATCGACGAGGGGCTGCGGTGGGCGGGCGGCCCTGGACCCTGCCAGCTCTTCTTGGGGGACAGGTTGAAGCCCACTGGTGGTGGCCATCACGCCTTGGAGGTGCGTTGCCCTGGGGCCCCACACCTGGACAGGATTTATCAGCGAGCTGTGGCATTGCCAACACATTGCTATAAGGATGGAGAGCTGCCTTACGCCAGCATCTGTCCCGCTTGGATTTTGCTCTTTGACTTCCCTTAGATCCTGGAAAAATACACCCACTCAGCAGCATTTGGGGAGCGAGCGGGCTGCAAGCACCATGCAGGAGAGCAGGCTGGTGCCCCTGAGCAGCGGCAGGGCTGAGGTCTCATGGCACGGGATGGATGGGGTGGCCCAAGAGACCACCGGCAGCGGAGCCTCTCGCGCCGCTCCCTTGTCCTGGCAGAGGAGAGGCACCGAGCTGAGCACTGGCACTGTCAAGGGTTTCCTGGATGAGCTGACATTGAAGGACAAGAAGAAGAAAGGCTGCTTCAGCACTCTACCGAGGAACCCGGGCTGCCCCATGGAGAGGATCTTCTGGGCCACGCTCAGCCAGTGCCCAAGGGAGGCGGGCAGCGGGAGCATGGACATTGGCACCGGCCGGTGTCACCAGCATCCCCGGTGGTGCAGCAGGTGCCTGGGGTGGGGATGCATCAGGCCCTGGGGGGATGAACGGCTCTCCGATGTTGTGCAGCTCTTTTTATGAGCAAACTGATGTGCAACAGGTTTCCTTCTGCCCAGTATGTGGTGGGACTGGGCTTCTACAACCCAAAGCCCGTTGAGAGATCAACGTACTCCAGCCAACCCCCATTCTAGTCATCTGCCAAGAGATTCAACAGAAAGTCCTACTGCCTCTTTACTGGGAACGAGGTGAGTGAATGGACCAGGCAGTGAGAGAGTGTCACAGGAACGGTCAGGCTCTGAGTTTCCTCCATGACCATCCCCAATCCATTACCACATCCCTGGGAGGGGACAAAACTCTTCTGAGCCACAGTAAGGGTGGGTACTCCTCACCAGCTTCAGCCAGCTAAACGTTAGGTGTGCCCTCTGAATGGAGCCGCACCCCAGCAGAAGTCCCACATCAGGTGGCTGTCTGCGATAGAAGGGCAGACTGACCTCAGGAGGTGCTTTTCTCTCCCCATTGATTATCAAGGAAACCTGGGCGACTTGGCCAGATACCCGTCCTTTAGAAAGGAGATGAGTCCCTCTCTAGGTGCTGTTGTTCTTGCCCAGAACAGGTTGCTAAAGAATAAATGGTGAATAAAGGCCCACGGCCCAACATCCTGCCAGGTCGAGGGAAAGGTGCCCCCTGCATACAGCAGCACGCTGAGCACCCACCACTGAGCACGCGCTGCCGTAGGCAGGTGAGCTTGCCTGGTGCTGAGCAGAGGGGCAGGAGCTCAGCAGCAACCATGTTATCTCTGCCTGCATCCTCAGGCCTTTGCCCTTTTCAAGGGATGCTCAGACAACCCTTCCCATTAGTTTTGCTCTGCATCAGCTGCAAGCAAGCAGATGCACTTCACGGATGAGGGCAGCTGGGTCTGAGTCCTTTTAGGAGCTAGGAGCTACTTGTATCCTCCCAGAAAGTCATATTCTGCTGCTTGAAAGCCAGTTTTTCCTCTAGCAGCATCAGCAGCACGTCGCAGAGCCAGTGCAGGTGGGAGCCATTCCCGTAGTACCCATTCCTGGAGCTGTATTCATCTTGGCAGCTTCCCCATGGAGAACCAGAACAAAGCCTGAAGGGCTCAAAGCAGACAGGGAAAGCTTTAATCTGAAATAGTCCACCTTAGCTAGGGATGAGGAGCAGGCTTCCATGTGGCTTCTCCTTCATCCAGCTGGGTGGGGAACAGGCAACTTAAAAGAGGTCAAGGATGAAGACATCTTCATAATTGCTGGGGAACTCAACAGATGACATTTCAGTGGGGAGGTTGTGACACGGCAGCCCTTCACTACAGCTAGCAGTAGGTGACTGGTGAGCTTGCTTGAGCCTGCAGAGCTAATAGACTTCTTTGTGGACTGCTGTGATGGGAAGAACTACTCGTGAAGGGG